CGTAATTTGTTAACTCAGTATGTCAATGAAGTGGCAAATACCAGTGTGCTTGGCTGTATGAACAGCAGGGATGGAGATCAGTAAAAACAGAGGGGGACCAATATGAGAGGACATGACTGTGTCTAACAGATGACTCAAGTGGGATCTCAAATGAGTCCTGTCTATTGGCATATAACACCATTCCTCACTCTCTCTGTTTCAAACAATGCCATGATATTTGCAGGTCATACAGCTCTGCTCTTTCAGACAAGGCCACTTGCTCCGAGTGTTTCGGGTTTCCAGGGAAACTGGAGGCCACCTGCGTGCTCAGCTGAACTTTGCAGCCTAGTAAAAGCAGGTCAAACACCTCTCTTGTCTTGTCTGCGAGTTACCATGGATCCTCCTCAGCAGGACTCAACAGTGTCTCTAGCATTACTGCTGCAATTTCAAGCTCTGCCCTTAATAACACTGCATGGGGAATGTCTGGCAACGTGACTGTATTGTCCTATTCTAAAACACACTCAGAGGAGGGGATGTGCACAGATACAGTTACACTGAAATATACATAGATGAGGCTCACCAGCATCTGCTTAATCCTGCTGGGCAATTATTGCACATTATCATTTCTTGTCTTGCAGAATCCCATTGTGCTGAAACAATAATAAAGTTGTTGTGCCGCACAAAGCTATGATTAATGATGAAAAGCAAATACTCATTAAAACCAGTCATGGATGAAATCTAAAATAAACAGACTTTAATTGTATTTCTATTGTACGGTATTTCAATTTTACGATATTTTTATACTGTCCAAGGCAATGGACACCAATTTTATTATCTTAAAGATTATTTTCATTATTGATTATCATCTTGTTTAACCAATTCATCTGTATATATAAAAACCAACCAGCAGTCCACAAACCCAAAGATATTCAGTTTACAATGAAGACTTTGCTCCTTTTGAAGGGGTCACGTGCCAAAAATGTTGGGAAGGACTAGTTCAGCCAGAAAATCTCCATCACAATTTCCAAGAGCCCAAAGAAACACCTTCAAATTGCCTATAGTCGAATCAATAATCCAAAACAAAGATACACAAAGTAAAATTATATTTAAACAGAGAAAAGCAGCAAATCATCACACCCAAGAGACTGAATCAGGCTTTTGCTTGAATAATTACATCAACAATTAATCAACAATCAAAATCCTTGCTGATTAATATTCTATCTCAAGCTACTACTAATAGATTAATCATCTAATCATTATCTGGGTATTTAGCCTGAATCCTCACATACATTGGCTGATGTGCTTATATATGGTATATGCTTAAATCAAGTCCAACAGTTATTGTGTGATAGTGTTTTTTGGCCCTGCCTCGGCTCAACGGTTGTCAGCTCTTGCTACCAACAACAAAGACGCAGCGGAAGCCTAGGCAACTAAAACACACTAGGTCCAAAAATGGCAACTCATTTCACCAGTGATACAGCTAATGCAAGCAGAGAGGCAACTCCAAGTCCTGATCCAAGGCCATAATTCATTTGACATGTCTGTTGAGGCTGTGCATGATAATGTGTGCTTCTACCTGCCAGAGCCCTGGCTGCACAGTGAAGCCATTCATCCACACTCAAGCCTTGTTTTGGAGAGATCTTTACAATGTAAACACAGCAATGTGTTACAAAACATATCAGTGTTTGCAAAACACATGTCTTAACCACTTTTAGTCTTGCTTTGGATACGCTGGGGATTATGCTGGAACTACAGGGAGCCTTATTAGGCGTTTAAACCAGCAGGAATGAATGCATCTTTTTCTTTCTCCCCCCTATTCTTCCACATTTCCTCAATTTCTTGTGAGATAATAAATCATGTAGGCTCTGTAAGGTTAGTCTAAATGTAAAACATGAGGTTCTTGTACAATAATGTCTCAGTTGGCCACATGATGGTCTCTGTATGGTGCTCTACAGTTTTATCTTTCACCCAGTTCCCACTAAACATGGACAATACCTATTTATAATAGAGCAATGTGTATTCTGGTAGTTTATTGTGAAATTCAGCTAACAAAGTCCTACAAAAGTCTAAAATGTTGTTAACTTTGGATGATATTGGTGCAAATTATCAAATTTTCCAGCCACACTTTTTCATTACTCGTCAAGAGCTAATAAACCTGATAAGCACTCATCTTCATCATCAACATGATGGCTTCTTTGAAAACACACATTAACTGTGGGCTATGAATGTGCCTCTGTTCCTCATTTTGTGCTCTAATAACATGCATGATAGTTTCTAAATAGCACTCTGTTCCTATTTATAGCTGAACCAACAAAACTGTCGGCTAATGAATCGGCAATCATTCAGCCAATAACTCAATAATCAGTCCCACCACTGAGATAATCACCCATTATAGTCTACAACAGCCCTGTTTAACATAATGAGCTGAAGCCATTTTCTTGCTGCTGCTAGCTTTAATAGAAAAAGTTGCCATATTTGAATCACGTCCCTAAACTGATGTGCTGGAAATGACTGACCGTTACTTCCGCTAACTCACTTTGTGTTAAAACCGCAGCCTGACAAAGAAAGACAAGTGACCGAGCTCAAACACAGTCCGTCTGTGTCCTTTGACCGTGAAAAAGAGTGAACATTTAACGGCCTGATAATAAAAACCCCCGGGAGTGACTTTACTTTTGACCACAGGCCTCTGATATCAGACCTGTGACGGTTCATTAGCAACGGCTCGACCGTTGAGGACCAACGGCTCCCAGCGACATGGACTCACCTCTCGTTCACCTCGGTGGGGACGGACGGCAGCGGTCAAGGCTCAAAACAAGGTGACAACTTAATATGAACAAAAAAACAAAAATCTCTCAAGTCTTCATCCTGGCAGCGCAGGAAAGAGGAGGGGGAGAAAAAAAAAAGTCTGTTCACAGCATGTTTTTTGTTTGTTCGCTTGTTTTGTTGGATCTCCTCCCGCTGTAAAGAAAACAACAATAAAACCTCCTCTCGCTGCTCCTTCTTGTTCTGTAGCCGTGTATCAGGCACAGATGTGTAAATTATTGAAAGAGTGTTTTCTTCTCTCGGCTGCTTGTGAGATCGGTTACAAGAGTTGGTTGTAACTCGATTCCTCCTCCTCCTCCTCCTCCTCCTCCTCTTCCTCGTAAAAAAAAAAAGTTTCAAACTTGGAGGGGGACCTGGAAATCAACAGATTGATGTTGGCTTGAGCCAATGGAGGAGCCAACAAGGGGGAGTGGACCAACCCAATCAGCCCGAAAATAAAAGACCATTCACCAGCCAGCACATTCCCTGCCCCCATTTAGGGTTTCCAGTAATTATCCATATCCAGTCCCAGTCCCAAGGCTGGAAATTTCCCAGAGGAAATGGTGTTAAGGGAACAATGAACAGGAACTGTGGGGAGCAGTTTTTCTGTCATGGACTAAATGATATACTGGCGTGTTAAAGTCACATTAAAACACTTGTTTCATCACAATTGTCAGCATTTATTTCATTTTATTAAAAAACAAAATGTCATAATTCACTTTTCATAGCTGCAAAGTATTTTAATTAGGTGTGAGAACAAAAGGGGAGAGAGGGGGGGGGATTTTGTCAGCGGATGTTTTTAGGAGGGCAGGAAGTTTTTCCACATCTGTGTAATGAGGAGACAGGAATTCCCGAGGTCAAAATATCCTTCGTGCATTGTTATCTCAACTCTGAGGTAATGTTGTATAGTATTGATATTAAAAACTATACACTGACATAAGCTTCAGGTCACACAGTGTTATTGTTACACTACCCCATAAACTATAAACTAATATCATATAAGTCAGTATTTATATGTTAACGTTACTCTTTGTCATAATAAAACGACAGGACACCTGCAGTGGTGAGACTGACCTGGAGCGTCCTCTAGTGGTTTAATGTGATTTATATGGGAAATACTCTGCATGTGCACTGAGGACTCAAATTGGTGGGGGTATGAAAGGTGCAACAAAAAGTGTGTCAAAACCAGTCTGCCTAATAGGGTGGTTTTATGTTCTTATGTAGTACTGACAGTGATAGTGTCCTTTACTCAGTTATCAGTGATGACAGCCACCCCTGCTTTCTTCACAGCCATTGGATGAAACCCAGATATAAGAAAATATTTAAAACTAGAGCCGATCAAAATGTGGGACAATGGATAAAATTGCTGTGCAAAGTGGGACACCTGCTCATCCTTGCCTGACCTTATCAAAATAGACCAAATACAGATATATGGTTTCTAGTATTTTTAAATGCATATAAGAAGTGAAGAAAAATCTTATGTATAATTACATGATTGTGTTTTTTAAATGTGTATGTACATAATTTCTATCTTCTTTCTAGAATTGGTTTCAATCCATAATGGTAATTTCTACCATATACTTGTAATATACCATGATCAGTGGATGATAGTATTACGTTTAGGGCTGCAACAAACAATTGTTGTCATTATCGATTAATCCGACGATTATTTTCTCAATTGATCGACATTGTTTACAAAATGACACAACAATTTGAAAAAAAACTCGTTACAATTTCCCAGATCGCTTGTTTTATCTGACCAACAGTTGAAATCACAAACATAATCAGTTTATTATAAGATAAGATAAAAGAAAGAAAGCAGAATTACTTTTCTTTAAAGTGATCAATATCAAGTGTTGCAGATACATTTTCTGTCGGTCAATAAAGTGATTCATTAAATAATAGTACTGGCACTCATGCCGACTGACAGGTCAGATCACATTACTGTATTTTTGTATGGGGTCTGTGTTATTAGAGGGGTTTGTGACCCAATTACATTTTGCTGTAGACCTACATTTATTAAAACAAATCGATTCATACAGTTTAAGTGAGGATTTAGCCATTTTTAGGGCAAAATAATACAGATTAATACCTTTTCAGAGAATATTTGATAACACTATAATTAACTTACCCCATAATGATCTCTAAATGCATTTCTGTAACGTCCGCCAGTGTTTTTTGGTGGTTGAACTCAATCTCCCACAATCCTCGGCAAAAGACTAACAGGAAAGTGACGTCCTTTTGCTACGTGTCAGGAAGTCCTATGGTCAACATGGCGGCGCAGCAGGGCGATGTTGATGAGCTCTTCGATGTGAAAAATGCCTATTACATCGGCAGCTATCAGCAGTGTATTAACGAGGCTCAGAAGGTGAAGGTAAGTATCTAATAGTTATCAGTTGAATGTATTAAAACCAACGGTTTCTTCTTTATCGCTGTCTAACTGCAGCCAACGGCCGTTGTGAGCAACAATGCTAAACATGTTAGCCAATATATTCTTTATAAAACACTCCTGTCTGTGTTTCTTCTTTAAAGCCGTCCTCACCAGAGAAGGAGACTGAAAGGGACATGTTTTTGTACAGAGCATACATTGCCCAGGTAAACCACCTTTTTGTCAAGTAGAAATGTTCCTGTCATGAGCTGAACTAACTAACTAACACAGTTAATTAGGCAGATTGAGATTAATAAGCTGCTCTCCCTGACCTGTTGTATGTTGTGTTACTGCAGAGGAAGTATGCTGTTGTCCTGGATGACATCAAGGGCAGCTCTCCACCCGAGCTTCAGGCTGTCAGGATGTTTGCTGAGTATCTGTCCAGCGAAAACAAAAGGTAAGATCTGATGTTTAAGTCAACATGAAGGGGACATAGGGTTGAACGATGTGGCTGAAACATACCGCTTTAACAACCATTAATATTTTTGGCTGAAGGATATTTCAGCCAGTATTAAGTTTGGACTTTATCACCTGAAAAATGATACTGGGTGTGAGGATGTCATACTGCAGATTGAATATCACAGCTGGGTTCCTATATGGGAGTTTTAATGCTTGTGTAAGAGGACACTTATTACCTTCACAGTTTTTATACTTAAGATGCTATTTGATGTGATTCAAAATATTTGAGCTGAGCTTTTTGTTGGATGGTCTTTTAACATCAAACTATTTCCATGTCACAGATTTAAAAAATATATATATTTGGTGAAGGGGAGGCAACTGGTTACATCAAAAGTGCATCTGGATTACCCTAATATTCTTCAGTATGCTCAACAAAATGCTATAGATTATATGATGTATCTTTTAAATACTGAATGTATCACCCAGCCTTTAAATACACTTGTGTGTGTGGAGATTACTAAATAGCCTTTCTATTGTCATATCTTCTACTTCAGTATGTGATTTTGATTCCTGGACTCTCGTAAGTTTAAAATCCTTAATGTATGAATCATTTATTTACTGTTCCTTTTTTTTTTTTTTTTTTTTGGCAGGGATGCTATTGTTGCCGATCTAGACAAGAAGATGGTGAAGAGTGTGGATGCTGCCAACACCACCTTCCTCCTCATGGCTGCCTCCATCTACTACCATGAGATGAACACTGATGCTGCTCTCAGGACTCTACACCAAGGAGAAAGCCTAGAGTGGTAAGATGGGATCAACTTTTACTAAAAAAGATTTTCAAGAATTTCTCATTTTATATTTCAAGGATTTAAAGTAAATACATAATTCAACCCATGTCAGTATATGGATGGAAATAATGATCAGAATAATGTATTAATAGACATTACACACTTTGGTTTTGATTCATAAATGCGTTTAGTAGATGCTCCTGTTGCACAGGTTTATAGTGGCACTATGTCATTCAAAAACCTTGCATGATTATTGAGAGAAGTATAGATTTTTCTCAAGAAACTTCTCGACTCACCACGCTATCAAATTCACCCAAGGCTAATATGTTGGCTTGTGTACGAGAGAGAGAGAGAGAGAGAGAGAGAGAGAGAGAGAGAGAGAGATTAACTAAATTTGTATTCTGTAGTCATTATATTAAAATGTTTGTTTAGCAACTACGGCTTCCACAACTTGGTTTGTAAATTGATGTTTCGGCTGTCACATCTGCTCCACAAAACACAAGACTCTGATGCGTCACTGGGTTTATAAGGTTGCTTTCCTCTTTGAATACAACAGGCCAGAAAAGGACCGTATTGACGTGAACCTTTGTTTATTTTCCAGCATGGCCATGTCCATCCAGGTGTTGCTGAGTCTGGATCGGGTTGACCTGGCAAGGTATGGAAAACAACACATAAACAGAAGATGATTTGCATTGAATTGGTAGTTCAGCTTTGTTATTTGAAGGGCTTGTGGAAAACATCCCGGTGCTTTTTGAATATGTAAATGTCATGACAGTGGACAAACCCTACTATGTTTAGGTCTGGACCTGTAAAATAAAAATAGACACAAAAGTGTATACATACTCTCTCTTTGAAATGGGACTGTGTTCTTATAATAACAGTGTGATTATATTCTTTTTTTGACAGGAAAGAGCTGAAGAAGATGCAGGAGCAGGATGAGGATGCTACTCTAACCCAACTGGCCACAGCCTGGGTTAATATTGCTGTGGTAAGGAGACCAGCATTCAATTACATCTGTGTAATATTGCTAATACACACATTGATTTGTAAATAAAAGCTCTTTAATGAATAATTTGTAAACCCTCTGTACATAATGCAGTGGGTCTGCACGTACAGTAATTAAACTAAATTCCTGTTCATTACATTATCAGCATCCGAGCTGTATTGTGATTGACTGAAGCTGCAATCAGGTTGGAAATAATTAGTGGGCAGGGTAGTATGAAGCAATTCTTGGTGCAGTATGCAGCTAACCTAACAGGTCTAAGAGGGGCCGTGTTTTATTCAAATTGCTCATATTACCCACTATAGTTCTTCCGACTCTAGCTGAGCAGTGGGTGCCGCTGAAACCATTGAAAAAAACAAAACAAAAACAATCAAACAGCTGGAGTTGTGCACTTATTATTGGATTTTCAGCATGACCACTGCTGAACACATTTAATTGCATTCTGCTTGTTGTTTCAGGGTGGAGAGAAGCTGCAGGATGCCTACTACATTTTCCAGGAGATGTCAGACAAGTACTCATCTACACTGCTGCTCCTCAACGGGCAGGCGGCCTGTTACATGGCTCAAAACAAGTGGGAGGAGGCTGAGGGAGTGCTACAGGAGGCGCTTGACAAGGTTAGATGACAATAGTGTTCTTTGTTTGTTTTTTTTCTGTCTTGTTTTTTCTCTTCATCACACCATTGAGTGACACACTCAGCACAGTTTGATGTACAGACATGCACAGTTTGTTCAGTTAAAGCTCTCAGTGCCTTGTTTCTGAGGCTGTATTAGATTCATATCCTTCATAATTAAGTCCTTAATGAATGCTTGCTGGGAAGGGGAGTTCTGCTGGAGGTTCTGTGTAATATGGATACAAGATTAAACCTCTTTATGAGATGCATTCAAAGTTATTTTTGAGTAAGCAGGAAGGGGAAAAATGGAAAACAAGAACTGGGGAGATTTTGCTGTGAGAAATGTTATTAAGACAGTATTCCTTGCTGTTTCATCAACTGATGACAAAGCCCAGTTTGAACAAGCTAATCTTAACTTTCCCTCAGTTTGATGTCACAACTTGAAAATAATGATATTCATTATGAAACTTTAGATATGGTTTACCATGGAGCCTTAAGGCCCAGCAATGTGTTCAAGTTCAAGATCTTTATTTGTGCCTGAGGGGCAATTGGTTCTACCGCAATAGCAATAAAAAAACAACACAACAACAACAACAGCAACACCGGGTGAGACACACAGATACATTATTTTAAAAAGCCACACATACATAATTACACATAGAACAAAACACAGGAGTACAAACTTACAGTATTAGTAAAAAGAAAAAAAAGGAGATGCTACTCAGCTCAGCCAATCAATAGTAATAGTTTATTTACTGTTCTATTATTGTGTTAATGTTCTTTAAAAGGCCTGTTTCATTCGACGGTATGTATAAAGTACCGACAATCAACTAATATGTGTTATAGACACACAGTAACATCCCAATTTGTCACAAAACATTTTTAACTTAGTAATGAGGCTTTTATTTCTAATAACATAAAGATATAAACTCAGAACAAATCTCCATAAAAGGTCAGATGTTTCCTGTTCAGTGGATTCTTTACTCAACAACATAATGTGCAATTTGAAAATCTTCAACTGCCCCCATTGTAACAGCAGATGGCACCACATACTCTTTTGTAGTCCACAGTTATTGTACTTTATCCACAGCAAGATAGACAGTGTGCACTGTTCATCCACAAGATTCAACAAAACATTCATTTTGCAGTCATTTTGTCTTAAGTTTTATCTATTTCAATTTTTTATACTATATAAATAATAAATATGCACTACTGTGTTTCACCTATGTGAATATTGCAGCTCTCTGAATGGATGTGATCTGTACTTAATGTTTCAAGTCTGTTTTTGTGTTTAGGTTGTAGAAGCATTGTTATGTTGACTGAAAACTGAAGTTTAACCGTTTAGGTTAACTGAAGTGAAGCTTTTCTGAGCTTCCTTTTGGTAATCCTCCCCAAACCCAGCTTAGTATTCCTGCTTCACAAGGCAGGCCATTCATTGATTACTTGACCCTTGATTTGACTTCACCCTACACAAAGTTTACTGGTTGAATTATTACAAAGTGATAGTTATCCATTGATGTTATCTTTTACTAAACAGACATACGATAATAAAGAGCATAATTTGACTTTTCTGAATGCCTGCTCATGTTTTGCCAAGACAAAAGAGGTTATTTGTTATGGTAATAAGTGGAATAAATAAAAGGAAAAGTTAAACAAAAGTTATAGTGTTATATACATGTAGAAATATACACATTTGGAGCAACACTCCTCCCTACCTGCTGTACTTTTATGTAGGAAGTTAAAGTCATACCACTGAGTAATTAATCTCAATAAATGACATAAAACATGCTAAATAGAAGATACTTTTCTCTTTCACTTTTGTGTTTCTATATCAGTTCTGATCGCTTTGTGAGAATGACCCTCTCACTCTCTTTCCATCTCTGTCTTTCGCTCATCCCCCTTCAGGACAGCAGTCACCCTGAGACGTTGATCAACCTCATAGTGCTGACGCAGCACCTTGGCAAAGCTCCTGAGGTGAGACTTTGAACCCAAAGCCGTTAACAGGGGCAACATTTTAACAACCACCAGTTTAGCAGATTCCTATAGACAAACTCATCCTCGGTTGAAGAGCGCTTGACTAGTCTTTTTTTTCTCCCAATAACATTCTGCGTTAGAGTGCAAGATGCTCCTCTCAGCAATTTTATGCGTGTTTGCTTTGATTAAACCAGGCAAAAGCATTCAGCCAAGCAATTTCTTGATTGTGTTTGACTTCTATCGTGGAAAGTGTCATCTAAGCATTTCTACTGGTTTAGTGCTGTGTGTGAGTTATACACCCTGGAACTCAGAGTTCATTAGATAAAGACTCAATTATCTGTCTTAAGTTTGATAACCTTGATAATAATGCCATAGAACTCTGACCATTAACTCAAAACAGTCACTCAAAGGTTTTCCAGCTATGATAACCACTGATTAGCACCTCTCGCTCAAGGTTGACAATTATGTAGACAATGCTTGCAAACGAGCCTAATCCTCAGGTGAGGTAGTCGAGAGTAACTTCTGAATGAACTTTGTTGTCTAAGTCCAAGTTGATGTTAAAGTTTGTGAGTCCTTGTTCTGCATGGCCTCCCTTCTATGATAAATGTTAGATTAGATATAAAAGATGAGATATGATTGTCTTTATCAGCTTTGAAGCCCCTGAGAACTTTTGTTTTCTCTGTAACATTAAATATTCATGATTAAAGTACCAACAATTGACACAGGACAGTTTGGTTATGGTTTGATTATATTTGACTGACAGTGGCCCGAGAGCATGCACAAACAACCTTATTACCATTTCCCCCACTTCAAACTAGTGACAAGAGCACAGACACAACAAAATGCAGGAATACCTTCTCTAAACAAGTAAATAACAAACAAAATACTAATTTTGGTGGGGAAATTGATTTCAGTCTGTGAGAAACAGGTTTTGTTTTTGACAAACCTGGAAATGCTTTACAGGTTTAAAGTCCCTAAAATACAGGTTTTCAGCCTTTTAAATGTTTGTTTATGGCTCTTTTTTTGGCTCTTATTTACTCTCACTTTCATGTGATCTGTTTTTCCTCAGGTGACCAATCGCTACCTCTCTCAGCTGAAAGATGCACACAGGGCCCATCCATTCCTCAAAGACTACTTAGCCAAGGTACCTTGCTTGTGTTTGCATTTGTTGTTTCAGTGCTTTTCATTTTCAGTCATACCTCTGGGCTGTGGCCAGTGCTACTTTGGTTCACAAGATGAACCTTCATAACCTTTACTCTGCTATAATTCAATTACCTGACCTGATTGTTTTGATAGTTACTGGGCAGCAGGTGTCCTTGGAGCAAAGTTATTAAACTCTGAATCTTTAGCCTTTATCACACATTTCGTTGTAATTACACAGAAGTGCCGATGTAAACAAACATGTTAAAACTGGGTTATCCTTGCGAAACAAACCATGCGACGCACAGCTGTTGCCGAGGTCAGATGTTTTTCTTCCCTGGTGTTTAACTGTTTGCTCTGCTCTTTGTTTTCCTGCAGGAGAATGAGTTCGACAGACTATCGATGCAGTACGCTCCTACTGCTACAGCATAAGACACCTCAACAATGGACTTCAGTATAACACAATGAAGTGTCAACAGACTATTTCTCCCTCTAACCTGCATACCTGTATTTGTTTTGACATTTTTACCTGTATTATTTAAAACCAGAGCAGAATTCATAATTTCCCTCTGGTGCAGATGAAACACGCCTTGCTTAGTATCCATTCAATGTAGATTATGCATTTCTCCTATTCTGGAAATCAACACATCTGTTTTAATATAAGCATTCCTTTTGAAATGATAATAAATGTTTAATACCTGTGTTGTGTTTTGAAGTGTGTTTTTTTGTGTTTTTGTGTGTGTGTGTGTGTGTGTGTGTACATGCATGAATTTAAACTATTTAAATTTAACATGTATAAAAAAAACCCAAGTTGTGTGCAGCACTGTCTCTTTAAGTCATCCTTTTAGCAGTTCAAGCAGAGAGGGTTCAAAAAACAGAAGATAGCGGCCCTAATTACGTCACGCCCCCTCCGGTTTTTTTTCCTATGGTTTTCTCATAAACGTCCGCTGCTGTCCTCTTTTCAAGTACCAGTTGATTCCCATTGAAACCAAGGCGCGACTTGTCAAAACGCAGCTTTGAACACGTTGACCAAGCAGCAGCGGCGGCGGCGGCAGCGGCGGATAAGAAGACCGGAGAGAGACTACCGCCTCTTTTATAGGATAAATAATCTTCTTATTTCATCGTTTTGTCGTCGCTGGACTATCTTGGTTTCGTGTGCCGGTTTCGTCGGTGAATCTTCTGCTCCAACGGCTCGGAGACGTCAGTTCCAACGGCTCGGAGACGTTATATAAGGCGAGTAACGGACAGAGATGAGACCGCACGGACGTTACAGCTCAGCGGCACAATAATTGCATGTTGCTGGGTTTGGGAGGGCGACGGAAAACGGCAAACCTAGAGTTGAATTCGGTTATGTATCATATGTGCTACATCACGTTTTAGGTTAATTTATTCGTTGCTAGCTAAGCTCGGAAGCTGCTGCCAATGCTGGTCCATTCACTATTGTGTGCGTATGCTTTAACTTAGCTAGACGGCTAACGAGGACGCGCTGCTGCTGCCGCTGATGAGCCCGTGTGCGTATAGCGGAATGATGATCAGAAGAAACCCCCACCAGACAGGCGCTAATGGCTCAGATTAATCGTCTAAACCCGATATAATAATTGGTTCGTGTGGGTTACCAAATACAACCACATAGCCGATGTGTCTGGTCAGACCCGGTGGGCCCTGCTATCATTCATAAAACTGTCCTGGACGCGAAGAATGGGCCCATGTCTTAATTTGGAAAACAAAGAATTAGGCTACTGAATAGGTTAAGCTGGTTAGATAAGCTTGTTTTAGCGTTTTTAGGTTAGCTAGCAAGCTGGTTGACGGATTAGTCACACAGTCTGGACTGTACATCTCCCTGCGCTCCCTCTGTCCCGCAATTGGAGTATTTTTATTTTTTTTCCGGTTTCCACGTTGTTTTTTTTTGTTCTCTCTGCGCCGCACCACAATGAGCAGTCACACCGGGGACGCCGGGCCGGTGGAAGTGGAGCCCATGCCGGGATACTTGGATCTCATCACCAGAGCCTCCACCGTAATGCTGGGCGCATGGAGAGACTGTAGTACGTGCGGCCTGGAGCTCTCCAAACAGACTCTCCTGGATAACGCATACATTACCTTCACCGAAATCGCCCTGTTCTTCTTTTGCGCCTTTTTGTGGACCCAGGTCAGGCGGGGACTGACAGAAAGTCTGTTTAAGGTGAGTGACACACATTCACATTCTCACCACCACACACACACACACACACACACACACACACACACACACACACACACACACAGTGATCCCTCAGCTACCCAAGGTTATTTTATTTACATCCTTAATTAATGGGTTTAGTGGCTCATACCTCTAATTAGAGCCCCAGCACTGCACAAGTGTGGCCTCTGAGCCTCCCATCCCTCAGGAGTTGCTCCTGAAAGCACATGCTCTGGGCAGACTGAATGTGAGGCAGTAGGTGTAAGCAGGTGGGAGTGAGTATAACCAATGCTAACAAATACTAGATACAGTTGTAGGTTTAAGATACAGACAGTAAACAGCCTTATCTGTACATGTGTTAGGCAAACGTTTGAGCTGAACAAGTATAACACTAGAAATATGAAATTCTGTTATATGATTCAAATTTTAATGAGCAGTGTTTGATCTATATTTTCTTTTTGGCACTCACACACAGGCATTTCATTGCTTTACATTCTAATGAAGTATGTATTTCGCAGTTATAAATGCTTATGAGCCCAACCAGTAATGTCCTATTAAGACTAAAACCAGAGAACTGCTGGTAATCTGGTAATCAGATTACAAATGTTGTGATGACAAAGTCAATTTTTACACTAAGTCTGAAACAAATCATTTAAAAAAGCATCTATTTTTTATCTGTGATTTTGTGTGCTAGCTGAATACAGTTCGAAGATTACTTTCTTGTTTGTTCCATTTGTAACGGTAAATATAATCCTGAGGTTTTTAGGTTTCTTCCTACAGCCCCTTCCCTCCCTTTTTCTCTCTGTATCTCACACACACTTAAACTTTGCTGGAATTAGGGCAGGGAGATGTGCATAAAATGTAGTATATATAATTTTATGTTGCAATAGCAGTATATATTGTAAAATTATACATTTTCTGGTAAGTCAGTTAAACTCTGCATGGCTACAATAACCAGAAAGGAAATTGCAAATCCAGTAAATCAAATACCTGTCAATTCAAAGCGGTTTAAATGGTATGGCAAAATCTCTGCTGTGGGAAACATGTATTGTGTCCCACTGTATATAGGATCATATTGTCTTAATACATTATATAAACGGCTTCATTTTGAGAAATGAGACCAACAGATACATGTTGCCACCATTAAGTTGGAAATCATGTCAGTTACCTCAGGATGTGCCCTCACAAAACCACAATGTCTATAAAAGGAACATCACAACATTGTTTCTTACCACAATATGTTCATCAGACCTGATGCTCAGGCTCTGCTGTAATGGACTGGCCCTGTTCCCAGGTCTCCTATAGTCCCTTCACCCATCCCAGGGTACCTCCACCCTGTTGGTGTTGCCAGGGAAAGGCCCTCTTTCTCCACAGATACCCTGGATGTGGCCCACGGCTCATTATTCTGCCTTGGTCGTGAGGTGGGGGTGGAGTGTCTACACGTGGTAGATGCTATGATGAGCAGTATGTAGTTCAGGGCCCCATATGTAAAGCCAGATGTGGCCTGAGAATGCAAAGAATGAGGCCTGTTTTCCCCTTTCCATTATGCATATGTGTCTCAGCATGTGACTCACAAATTCCTACAGAACAGAACAGCTCTGGATGCATTTAAGGTCTGGATACTATAGGGGCTGTGAAGGATGAGGTGAGATTCTAAGATTGTGTGTCAATGGGCCCATGGTTTTTTAGTGCATGTGTAATACCACCTTTACAGTGCTTACATTAGGGATGAAGTGTTAGGTCAGCTGTGTGGAGCTAAGGCATTATGAATATTGCTGTTATACATCACAAAAGCTGTCAGAAGAGTACAACTACATTGTTTGAAGTCTTATTTGAGCACTGCGAATTGCACAGACTTGAACAAAACAGGATGTTTTGTCACTTGTTAAATTGAACTACAATGCATTTAATAACTTCTCTGTAATGATTAAATATGTGGTTTTCTCAGTGTTGAAGTACACAATTGCTTTGCGCGCTGATGTGGATTAAAGAGGCTAAGCTGTCATACAGTATGCAGTATGAGCACAATAAATGACAGCAAGGACAATTGTGAGTACACATACTTAATTAGGTCCAGAGTTAATGAAACCTCATGGACATTAAATGTTAGCTTAGACATCAGTGGACAAAGCACTGTGTAATACTATCCTGTGGTGATCTTGTGGAGACTATGATGATGCGATCTGACGCGAGGAATCAATGTTGCTTCCTCTGACAAACTATGAAAACGCCATTTATGGACCTCAAAGAAGTTGCATGAATATACCTATCTTCATGAATTTGTTCACAGGACCTATCAGCTGATTAAAAAGGAAAATGAATCTGCAACTATCTGATTAATCATTTAAGTATACTATTTGATGAGTCCAGGTTCTCAAATGTGTGAATTCTCAGCTTTTTTTGTGTCATAGTAAACTTATTACTTATACATATTTTGAGGTATATACTGTTGCTCATACAAAACAACACGTTTTATGACATCGCTTTGTGCTCTACTATCAGAAACAGCTGGTTGCCGAAGTTTATGATACATCTGCAGAAGAGCTGATGGATAAAAATAATTAGTTTCCTGTTTTGTTACTTACAGTACTCCCAGTCATGTTTGAAGAATGAAAGATGACCCACTTAAAATCTCCATTTACTCTGGTCTGTATTTTCCACTGAACAGTCAGATTCCAAAGCAGTCTGAGTGATACTTTTTTTTGTGTTGTATACTTAGCTTGCTGTACTCAGTCAGTAGTACCACAATAACAGCAGCCAACCCTTGTTACAATGTGTTATCTACACAAGCGTGAGACTCATGCCTTCTGGTAGAGCCCACTTACTGTCAAAAGAGTTCACTGTGGACTGTAAGAGATATTCAATCTTCTGCGTAGGGAAGACTGTGGATAGACACTTGCTTTTTTAGTGACAATGCAGTCTACAAGCTAGGAAAGGTCAAGGTTACAAACCTAGAGGTTGAGTGGACTATCTTCTGTGCTGTACTGGACGCATTTGTATGTATAAGCCTTTCTGTGCTCATGTTAACCAAATGATGGAAGCCAGGTTCCATCATTTCACATGTCAGTGAGCATGCTATTGGGTGAGGTAAGGCGAGAGTGTTGGGGGTGGGGATGGCTCCTGTGCACAGTAGTGCGTGGTGGAGTAGTATTCTTCATGTTTCAGTTTTGGTTTGATGTTTGAGTGTATGAGTTCGAGCAGCACCTATTCAGGTTAAATTAAATACAACTTGTTGATAAGCCACTTGAGCTCTACTGTTACATAAAGACACATCATAATCTCCTGACTCATCCACTGGAACTGCTGACATTGGACATTTGAAAATAAAATAACAAAAGTAAACGTGTTCTTTAAGTGTTGAAACGCTGAACATCTATCTCTGGGAATTTGATGTTGAAACTCCTCACTCTGCTGTTATGAACTGGCTTCTGTAAAAAATAACAATCTTCTAAATGTCATGCAACACATAGACAGCTGTGAAAGTAGCTGTACTCCTTCCTCATTGTCTTTTAACTTTATTCTGCACACACATATTTGTGAGAGTGTGTGCAGGTTAATGTCTCTATTTGCTTGTATGATGTTAATGGGTGTGTGGTTTCTGAGTTGTGCATTGCATTTATATGCTCGTTGTGTTAATGAGCGTGTGAGGTTTCAGACTTATGTTTGTGTTTGCATACAGTCAAAAGCTTGCATGCGCCACTTCCTCGCAGGGGATGAATAAACAGAAGGAAGAGAGAGCTAGAGGAAGGAAGGAGTGGCGAAGAGAAGTGGACTGAGGGGTTATGCATCTGAGGCCAAGCCTGCTGACTCAGCCTGGAGTAGCCAATCATTAACACAACTGTGCACACTCCCTCACGCATGCATATGTTCGTAAAATGACATACACACATGCAAATTCTGTCCACTACCATTTGTTTTTATACCCAGCAACACCAGAACATGTATTTTGAAGGAGGCAACACAGTAGCTGCTCAGTATAGACAAAACAGGCAGTGGTCAAATCCTCCTTGCAGCACCAGTTTATAACGGCTCTAATAAATGCCTCCCGTAGCCCCTCACACACACACACACACACCACACACACACGCGCGCACACACACACACTAAAGCAGTCACTCAAAGAGGAGAGCAGCGGTATGCTTGCCAGCTCCAGCCTTATTGCAGGGCTTATCTTCTGCATAGAGCTGAGTAGCACCTCATTCCCTACTGTTGTTCTAAATGTGAAAGCAGCCTGACGTTTGACAAGGTCCCCAACCACAGATCCCAGATCACGTTCCACTAAGCCCCTGCTCATTGTTGTACATTAGAGCCGCAGAGGGAAACCTGATATTGGATATGTGGTGAAGGGGAAGTGCTATCCATTCAGACAAAAGTGCCCACTCAGGTGCAACTTGCTTGTAATTTTGACACTGATTGCGAGCAATTGTTATGAAGTTTGGTTATTACTCCTCCCCTCTCCTCTCCTTTTCTCTCCTCTCGTGACTCAGCTCTCTAATTTATTATCACATAGTGTTTAAGTGAGCAACACTTTCACCAACACCTGACACGTGATCTATTGCTCTGTGCTTCAGTGTGTCATACATCATAGAGCACTTAAAGGTTCACAAAACTGCCTGCCCCACTGTTTCCCACACAGAGGTTGAGCTTCAATTAATCATAATTTGTAACTCTGATAGATGCAGTTATATAAAAGGTTAATGAAATCCATCATATATTTACATCAGTACCATACAGTGTGTACATACAGTATTTTTCTGTATGTTTAGAATATAGTATGCCTAATTTCAAAGGCACAATATGTCCCTAACCTTGTGTGTTTTTTAAAAAGCTGAATATCTGGTGGCTTTCTGCACTAATGCTTGGCTTTGTGCACAGGAGTGGTGGCCTGCAGGGTTGTTCCAACCTATAATGCACTCAGCAACAAGCTTTCAGAATTCCTACTAATATATTTGCTGGCTTGCTTGTTTAGCTTAGCAGCTGATTTCCATATACCTGCCCTTTAT